CTTCAGATTTCTGAAGAAGGGTCTAGGCCTGAAACGTCAGCCTTCCTGCTCCTCTGATGCTGCTTGGCCTGCTGTGTTCATCCAGCTCTACACCTTGTTATCTCAGATTCTCCAGCATCTGCAGTTCCTACTATCTCCCCCCTACTCTACCCGTAAGCTTGCATTGCCCATGGCTAACCCCGTCTAGCCTGCACATCTTTGGATTATGGGAGGAAACACACGCAGACACAGGGAGAACGTGCAAACTCCATGCAGATAGTCGCCCGACGCTGAATGCAGGACCGTGGTGCTGTGAGGCAGCGGTGCTAACCATTGAGCCACCGAGAACCCCCCCCATCAAAGTGCCGGATGTACTGACAGACGAAGGGTTTATGAATATATAAAGCATAATCAGCTAATACTGTATCAGTAGTTTTTAGTTAACAGTATGGTTTCAGGTTCCTAGTCATATGTTTCAAAATGTTGTACAATGTGAGGAAATATTGCAAAATGTTTTATATTCATCTGAAATAATGAAGTAATTTTGTTTTTAATTATTCCGGAAGTGTTGGTCAAGGGACAAGTCACAACGAAGTATTACAGGCTGCTGTCGAAGCATGGAGGCTGGGTGTGGGTTCAGAGCTACGCTACCATTGTTCATAACAGTCGTTCATCCAGACCCCATTGCATTGTGAGCGTCAATTATGTCCTTACGTAAGTATATACGTACATATGTTCATTGGCGAAAAATTGTAATAGCACATGAAAGAAGTAAAAAGTGTAAGAAAATGCAGAACTTTAAAAGGTCAATCAAACTCATTCAATATACAATTTCCTGTTGGATTATTCTGTCATGAATTCCCTCTTTACCTATCTGTTAATTTTTAACTCTAGAAAACATTACTTCCCCCAACCAAAAGCGCCAGTTATTGTTGTTGAACAAACACGGAGAATACTGGAGAAATTCAGCAGCTCTGGCAGCATCTGTGGAACGAGATTTTCTGAAGAAATTATATTGGACTCGAAATGTTAACTCTGTTTCTCCCACCATGGATGCTGCCAGACCTGCTGAGTTTCTCTGGAATTCTGTGCTTCAGATTTCCAGCTTCTGCAGTGTTTTTAATTTAATGTTATTAAATGTCTTTACAACTCTTAATTCTGTTTTGGACATGAAACATCAATAGATACTATTATTGCTTAATTTTAGAAAACAGGAAAAAGGCACTTCCAACCAGCAGATCCTAAAACATCAGATAAAAAATGAGCAGAGTGGTGTGGGATTTTACTAAGGTTGTGTTAACCTTAGAGTATATTGTAGATGATGGAGTGACTGTGGAAGTCAGGTTGGTTCTCCTTAGAGTATAGAAGGTTGAGCAGATTCAATAATAACTATCAAAAGGGAATTGGATAAATAATACTTTATAGATAAACAGACAGTTTTCAGGCTATGGAGAAAAATTGAGTTGTGGGACGAATTGAATAGCTTTTTCAAAGATCTGGAATAGATATAATGGACTAAAAAGCCTCCCCCTGTTTTGCAAGATTGTACAAAAATGTCCGAGCAGAATTTGGTGCACGTTCAATGTGATACGATTTCTGTACACCACTGGAATGCAACCCTTTCCTGTGCCAATTTTCTAACCTCTAGCTCTCTTAAGTATTTTTACTGGCTCACTGACCTCTACCTAGGAGTCCAGCAGTAGTCAGGGCACAAATTTACCTCCTTAAGCCTCTGAGGCCTGAGAGCTACTTGGGAATAGAATTTGCTTTGGAAGATCTGGTGTCAAAGTTTTTTGTAATTTAAAATATAAATCTCTCTTCACTGTTAATGCTGATTTTCAAGAATAAGTAGACTGTTGTGACAGCAGCCGTGTTTTGATGACGGAAAATAGATCTGATGATATATCTCCACCATTTTAATCATTTCAATATGCTTGCCACTTTATGGGGAGAAGTCCTGACCAAACCTGAGACTTCACACACACAGACACTCTATGATATGGGGAGGGAATGAAGTCAGTAGCAGAAGGGTAGAAATATTAACCTGGATTACTGACCTAAAATATTAAGTCAGAGAGTCATACAGCACGGAAACAGACTCTTAGGTCCAAACTGTCCATACAGACCAATTTTCCCAAACTGAGCTAATCCCACTTGCCTATGTTTGGCTAATATCCCTCTAAACCTTTCCTATTCATGTACCTATCTAAATATCTTTTAAATGTTGTAACTGTTCCTGCATCTACCACTTCCTCTGATAGGTCCTACCACACATGAACCACCCTCTGTATGAAAAAGTTGCCCCTCAGGTCCCTTTTAAGTCTTTCTCCTCTCACCTTTAAAATAAGCTCCCTAGTTTTGAAATCACCTACCCAAGGGAAAAGACCTTTGCTACTCACCTTATCTTTTCCCTCATGATTTAATAAACTTCTATAAGCTCACCTCTCAATCTGATATGCTCCAGTGAAAAACATCCTATTCAGCCCATCCTTAGAACTCACACCCTCCAGTCCTAGCAACATCCTAGTGAATCTTTTCTGAACCCTCTCCAATTTAATATCCTTCCTATGGCAGGTTGACCAGAACTGTGCACAGTATACAAAAAGTGGCTTCACCAATGTCCTGTACAACCTCAATATGACGTCCCAACTCATTTGGGGTGCCATGGTGGCTCTGTGGTTAGAACTGCTGCCTCACAGCGCCAGGGACTCGTGTTCAATTCCAGCCTCGAGCAACTATCTGTGTGGAGTTTGCATATTCTCCCCGTGTCTGCGTGGGTTTCCCTTACAGTTCAAAGATCTTCAGGTTAAGTGGACTGGCCATGCCAAGTTGCCCATAGTGTCCAGGGATATGTAGGTTAGGTAGATTAGCCATGGAAAATGCAGAGTTACAGGGATAGGATAGGTGGGTGAGGCTGGGTGTGATGTTCTTCAGAGTGTCGGTGTGGACCTTTTGGGCTGAATGGCCTGCGTCCACACTGAAGGCATTCTATGGAACTCCTATACTCAATGGTCTGAGCAATGAAGGCAAGCATGCTGAACACCTTCTTAACCAGCCTGTCTACCTGTGATTCAACTTTCAAAGAACTATGTTCCTGAGCCCTTCGGTCTCTCTGTTGAACAACACTACCCAGAGCCCGACTATTAACTGTATTAGCCCTGCCTTGTTTGTTTGACCAAAATAGAATACTTGAGCTGTCACAGTGCTAATATCGCTAGCCAAGTAATCCATAATCCCAAGTGAATGTCCTGGCTTTGAGTCCCACCATGGCAGATAATGAAATCGAATTGAATAAAATTTGGAATTTAAAGATAGTCTATTGGTGACCATGTAACTGTTGTCAATTGTTAAAAGCCCATCTGGTTTACTAATATCCTTTAGAGATAACCTGCCATCTTTACCAGGTGTGGCCGACATGTGAATCCAGATCCATGGCAAAATGTTTGACTCTTAACTTACCCTCTGAAATGGCCTAGAGGGCCAATCAGTTCAGGGGCAACATAGGATGGCACACACCCCAATCAAGAATTTTGTTTTAAACAATCAATAGCTATAAAGTAATGTTACTGAACAGATTAAAATCAAACAGAAAATGCTGGAGAAACTGAGCATGTCTGGTCACATCTATGGTGATCAAAACATAGTTTTGAGTCGAATGACTCTTCTTCTGAACTGAAGGAGGCTGGAAAATGCTGTTTTTACATTGTTGACAGAGAGGAGGGGAAGAGTGAGTGGAACAGATTGTGAGGCTGCTCAGAGAAAAAGAGAAAGGCAGTACAAATGGTGACAAATGGAGATGTTAAATAGGTGTAAATGATGGTGAGAAAAGGATAAAATGTGTTTGCTCTGCTAAGAGCAAAGTCAACAATACAAGATGAGGGCGGGTACTTGGGTGGGGTGATGGCTGGTGCTGGGTTGGTGTTGAGTATGAGGCTGGACATTCAGAGGAAAGTGAAGGAGGGAAATCATGCAGTAAAGTTGCAGAATTCAATATTGAGACCTACAGGCTGGAAAGTGCCTAAATGGAAGACGAGATGTTGTTCTTCCAACATGCACCGAGTTTCATCAGGAACCTGTAGTAGGCCCAAGACGTAAATGTCAGCATGGGAGGAAGATGGTTTATTGAAATGGAAATAAACTGGAAATGGGAGCTATTCTCTGGACAGAGTGGAGGTGTTCCACGAAGCAGTCAACCAGTCTCCGTTTGGTCTCACCATGTAAAGGAGACCGCATGTGAGCAGCAAATGCAGGAGACTACATTGAAAGAAGTACAAGTAAAACACTGCTTCACCCCCATTGGACAGTGAGGAGGTAAATGGTCAAGTGTTACACCTTCTGCAATTGTATGGGGAAGTGTTTGGAGGGACGATGGAGTGACCACGGTGTTGCAAATAGAACAGTCCCTGAGGAATGCTGACAGTGGAGGGAGAGGGAAAGATGTATTTGGTGCTGGCATCCCATTGGAGGTGGCAGAAATGCCCGAGGATTGTCCTTTGAATGTGAAGACTGGTGGGATGGCAAGTGAGGAGAAGGAGAACCCTATAATCATTATGGAAGGAAGGGGAGGTGATGAGGGCAGAAATGCAGGAAATAGGTAGGACACAGGTGAAGGCCCTTGCAGTGACAGTGGAGAGGAATCCTCGGTTGAGGAAAAAGGTCATGTTGGTGGACCCAAGTGGAAGATGGCTTCATCGGAAAACATTATGAAGGTGGAGAAACTGGGAAATGGAATGGACTCTTGCAGGAAGCAAGGTGTGAGGATGGATAGTCAAGGTGACTGTGGGAGTCAGTGGGTTTGTAATGGATGTGGATGGACAGCCTATCTCCAGAGATGGAAATGGTGAAGTCGAGAAAGCGAAGGGACGAGTCAGAGATGGACCAGGTGAAGGTGAGAGAAGGATAGAAATTGGAATCCAAACTGATGGATTTTCTTAAGTATGAGTGAGAGCAGGGAGCAGCACCAATGACATCATTGAAGTATTAAAGAAAGAGTTGTATATAGAGGTCTCAGTAGGACTGAAACAAGGAATATTCCACACACCCCACAAGAGACAGGCATAGCTGGGACCATACGGGTACCCATAGCCTTTGACTTGGAGAACGTGAGATGAGGTGAAGGAAAAGTTGGTCAAAGTAAGAACAAGTTCAACCAGGTGAAGGAGGGTGGTGGTGGAGGATGGGAGCTGTGCAGACCTCTTTTCAAGGAAAAAGTGGAGACCCTTCAAATGGTGGATAGATGTGTCAAAAGATTGCATGTCCATGGGGAAGAGGAGATAGCTAGGGCCTGAAAACTGGAAATTATGGAACCATCTTAAAGTGTCAGAAGAATCATTCTTGTAAATGGGGAAAGACTGAAAAAGGGGGACAATATAGAGTCAAGATAGAAAGAAATAAGTTGAGTGGGACATGAACAAGCCAGGGCAGTCCTGTTTGTGAATTTTGGGAAGGAAGTAGAAACAGGCTGTATGGGTTTGGGGTCGGTGAGGTGAGAAGTTATGGAAGGGAAATCTCCAGAGGAGATGAGTTCAGTGACAGTCCTGGAAATAACTGCTTGATGATCAGTGTGGCACAGGCTGTTCAATGCAAATGGCATTGAGGAAAATGTAAGGTAAAAATAACTTGAACTCAATGTTAGTTTAACAACTGGTTCTATTTAGATGTAAAATATTCGTTCAGAGTGGTAACTCTCACTGAGTCGGTGGTAAGGTGATAGT